ACTTTTTATTACTGCCTCAATTTCATTGCCTGTTATTAGATTATCCAGGGTTTGGGGGGTGTCATTTTTGTTTGTTTTTGTTTTGTTTTTGGTACCAGAACTTGGGACTTTCATTTGCAAAGCAGGCTGCAGAACCACTGAGGTAAATCCCTGGCCCAATAATTCTTATGTATATAGGAATCTATTTCTTCTGTATTCTCCTATCTACCTATCTATTTATTTATTATTTTGGTTTTTTGAGACATGGTCTTGCTGTTAATTCAGACTGGCCTTGAACTCACTACTTCGTAGTGCAGGCTGACCTTGATCTCGCAGAGATCCTCCTACTTCAGCTTCTCAAATGCTGGGATTACAGGCGTGCGCTACCATGCCCGGCTCTTCAGTTTATTACTACGATTAGGGTGCAGATTTTCAAAGTAGATAAAAAATAATCATCTAGACTTTGGTGGTGGTCACTGTAATTACATCTTGCTCATTATTGCACTGATATAGGTCTTTACCTTTTTTACCAAGTCTGGCTGTTCTCTTTATTCTTTCAAAGAACCAGCTCTTCACTTCATTGATTCTTTATATTTTTCAAATCTCAGTTTCATTAGTTTCTGCTCCAATCTTTAATAATTCCCTTCCTTCCTTGTACAAGTTTTGGATTTGAATTGTTTGTGTTTTTCTAGAACCTTGAGGCCCATCATTAGGTTATTTGTTTGAACTCACTGTTTTTCTGATGTGGGCATTCCTCTTAGGACTGCTTTCATTGTGTCTCATACGTTTTGATATGTTATACTGGCATTATTGTTTGATTCTAGGGACTGTGTGCTTTTTTCCTTCATTTCTTCTGTTTGTTTGTTTTTGATACCAAGATCAAACTCAGGACCTTGAGTGTGCGAGGCATTCGCAGTGCCACTGAGTCAAATCCCCAGCCCTTCCTTCATTGCTTCTGTGATACACATTGATTATTCAAGAGTGCATTGTTTAATTTCCATGTGTTTGCATAATTTCTGTGGTTTCTCTTGCCCCTGATTTCTAGTTTTCATTGTGTTATGAACTGATAATATAGGTTGAATAATTTTGATTCATTTGTTTTTATTTAAGCATGATTTATGGCTACTATATGGTCTGTAACACAGAAAGTTCCATGTACTGCTGTGAAGATTGTGTATCCTGTTGTTTTGGGGTGGAACACTCTGTAAATATCTGTTAAGTCCATTGTTCAAAAGGGTGGTTAAACTCTGATAGTGTTATGAACTGATAATATAGGTTGAATAATTTTGATTCATTTGTTTTTATTTAAGCATGATTTATGGCTACTATATGGTCTGTAACACAGAAAGTTCCATGTACTGCTGTGAAGATTGTGTATCCTGTTGTTTTGGGGTGGAACACTCTGTAAATATCTGTTAAGTCCATTGTTCAAAAGGGTGGTTAAACTCTGATATTCTTTTTTTTATTTTTTAATTTTTTATTTATTTATTTATTTTTTGGTCTGGTAGGTCTCTTATTTTGACAGTGGGGTATGGAAGTCACTGTAACTGTGTTAATGTTTATCTGATCTTTTATGTCCAGTAGTGTTTGTTTTATGAAGTTGGGTGTGCCAGTGTTTGGTGTACATGTTTATAATTATTGTTTCTTCCTGTTGAATTAGTCCCTTAACCAGTATGTAGTGACTTTTGATTGTCCTGATTAGTTTTGGCTTTAAGTCTACTTTG